AGCCCCTCGACGCCACCGGCGCCGCCCTCGTTGCCAGCAGAGCTCTCCCACAGGTCAGAAGCCCCGTGGTTCAGGCTGTGTCCGACCTTGGCGAGCTCCAGACCGGCGGCGATGACCATGACACCCAACAAGCTCTTTGGGTAGTGCGTGAGCAGGCCGATGAGGGAGTTTCCAAATACGAGGCCCAGCACGATCTTGAACAGGCCCAGGATGATGACGCTCGCGCCGCTGCGTGCTCCGAAGCGGTACTGCGCCGCGAGCCCGCCCGCGCCGTGGCACACGGGCATGGCGCCCCACCAGGTGCCGACCAGGTTCATCACGCCGACGCTGATGCCCATGGCGGTGACGGACGGCGTGGGCATGTCAGGCAGCAGATCCGCCGCGAGCGCGCTCACCGCGATGACCGAGTTCAAGGTCGTGAGCGGGAGCTGGCCGATGGCCATCGACAGCGGCTTGTACTTGAACCAGTTGAACTCCCAGTGCACAAAGTGGGGGTTCCAGAGGTTGGGCTCCGGCAGGTAGATGTGAGGGTTGTCGTGCGCAGTCATGATGGAGATGAAGGCGAAGACGAGTGACAGGAGAAAGATGTGCAGCGCGTAGGGGAAGCGCGGCAGACCCTGGGTGAAAATGAGTACCAGGAAGGCGGCCAGGGCCCATAGCCTATTGTCGAGGACGGGATGAGTCCAGTGGAGGTCCCTGAGGAGACCGGAGCCGGCGGCCATGACGAGCGAGAGACCGGCGCCGAGCTGGATGCCCTTGACGACGGGGACCGGTACGTTCCGCGTGACCCAGCGCAGCAGGCCGGTGAGACTCATGACTAGGACGGCCAGACTGACCCACTGGCCCGCGGCCATGACGGTTCTGATGCCGCCATATTCAGACCGTGAGATGGCTGCTGCGGCGATTGCCTAGACACAACAGTCAGTATGCAGGGTTTCTTCCTTAGACGTGCGTGGTCTGCGAGCACTCGCCTTCATGGGCTGGACAGGCAGCGGGATGCCAAAGACGGCGCCGGTCACAACGTTGAAGATGCCAGAGAAAACTAGGGTGCTATCGAGATATATGGAATGCTGGACGGCGAGGGCGATCATCAAGGGAAGAAGAGTCCCCAAGTCACCGAGGGCGCCGGAGACCTCTGCGGCGGGAGAGCCGCGCAGGGTTGCGACATTGTGTCGATGGACTCGTTTTAGATGACTGAGAACCGTCATGATGCGGGGAACTAGACGGATCAACCTGTCTGTGGAATGAATTTGGTAAAAAGATGGTGACTTTTTGAGATCTTGGCAAGATTCAATAGCAAATTCGCGCTAGAGACGATGAATCTTAGCTATGAAATATAGAAATACAGCCGATTTTCCGTTCAGTTGGCCTTGTTGATGGCTGACGACGCCCTCAGGTCTCGGGATGATATTGGCAGCATTTCATGTCAGCGTACGTACCGCCCCCGGCTGCGACGCGGCAGCTTCCGACTGCAGTTCGGAGGAAGGAACTCCTCGGCCGGACGTTGAAGCTGGCGGTGATTGGTCGCTTGACCTCCGATGCTAGGCGTCTCCGCCCGTGGCCCGTAATAACATGCAGCGCATGACCTCCTCAGCTCCTCCTGTCCTTCAGTGCACCTTAACGCACAAAGTAAATAAAGTACGGATGCCTTAGATACGTTCAGTATTCAGTTGCTAAAGATTCGATTTGCTTGGGTAATCATTTCGTCATAGGCCGAATGAGCGGGTCGGCGAATGATCTGCCCATCGTCGCTGGACTGGAGAGATTACATTAGGCAACTAAAGCTAGGTCAGTAGCGGGAGTAACGGCAATGAAGAGAAATTTAAACGGGATGACTGAGCTGGCTGGCGACCGAACAAGGAGCCGAAAAGAGTTACCATCTAGGTAGCGGCCACGGACGGGCGCATGCCGGACAAAATGTGTTAGTTCCTAAATAAGAGCCTGCTTTCTCGATAAGTAGCAAGCGCCGGATTGGATCCATCCGTTGGGAAGAATTAAAAGAAAGAATAAGAGAAAAAAACTCGTGCTGGGGCAGCGGAAGGGGCGGCGGAAGGGGCGGCGGATGGAATTCGGGCTGGACGGATGCAAAAGTTACCCATGTGTCTCATTGCGCGCAGAGACCCGGCCGGTAAATGAATGGGGCCTTATCTGCCACCTTGGGGCTCCAAGGCAACAGGTTGTTTACCTCGCCTGCGTTTGGCTTTACCTTGCGATGGTAACACAGTCTGGTCCACCAGTTTGAAGGAGTTAGGCAGAACCTAGTACTATTAAGCCGGGGTATTCTATGAGGTTTTTGTTATTAAATCGAGACGTTGACGGTGGGCTCGCTGTGACGCTGCAAGGGAACGGTCGCTTCTTTTTCGAACGGAAGCCAAGGGATTGAGAAGGGCCCAATGCTGTAGACGGGATAGATGGCTGCTGGATGACTGATCATGTGAGGGTTTTCGACGGGACGGTGCAGCGGCGGATCGAGGGGTGGCTAGGCCGCGGAACGAGCAGCCATCGGCCCTGACTAGGCGCGACGCCCGATCTGATGGTGATGGGTTGGTGTGATACCTTGTTACTGTGTGAGGGATGAGATGTGATGCGACAAACAAAGGAACAATGGGACCATGTAACCTTCGCCTGGTCTCCCACTGTTGGGTGATGTTTCTTCTTGTTTCTCGGCACTGGCTTGCAGTGCCATAGCAATTACCTCAGGCTGGGTCAAGTCAACCCCGCGTAGGTGCTCAGTGCTGTGATGATCTTCTTTGCTTGGCCGAGGCTCAGTCAGATGACTGATTCGGGCAGTTTCTTGGCCCAACTCAAAAGGCTCATGGGCTTCCATTGGACCAAGTCGCCAACACTTTGCCAACCTGTCCGCAGCAGCTTGGCCGGGCGCAGTTTGACAAGCCTGAGAGAGAGGGAGCTCCATCTGGCAGATATGCCTCACCGATCCAAGAGCCTTGGAGTTGAAGCCATTCTCAGGTGCCGATACTGCCAAGGCTCGTCATCGGCGAGGCGATGTGATTTGCCAAGGGATGCGCAAATTTCGAGCATTTTGTAGCAGGGTACGACAGAGGAAGTGTCGACACTGTTCGTACGGGCACTCTCTGAACAATAACAAGAAAGAAAAATGGGACGTGACGGCGGTTACTAAGTGCATTTGCGGTCAGTAGTAGCGAGAGTGGCAAGGGGATCCTTTTGTCGGCCAGGTACGGCGGTTCGATTGCTGTGGCATTCCCGAGAAATCTCCCAAATGCACCAATTTCCATTGGGAACATCGGTGAGGGCGAAAGACAAGACCAACGCCATGGATGGAATTACTACGCAACTGCCATGTTCGTCATGAAGGGGTGGCGGTGGCAGCTACTAACCCAAGCAGCAGAGTCAGATGCGCCCGAGTGATGACAGAGAGCTGTGAAGAGTCTGTCTGGCCGTTGAGATTCTTGTTGTGTTGCTGGTATGTCTGGTACATGTGAATGACAGCGATATCCCCTACTGGTACGAGGTATAGCGGTATCGTAAGGTATGTAAGAATCCAGCAGGAAAACATGAGGATGCAGCCCACAACCCGGCAGAGATCGGTGAACCGGTGGCCCTGCGAACCCACCGGAACTTGAAGGGTGTGCTAGGGCCTCATCCCGGCTCCGGCCCCATGAGATGACCCATGTCATCCAATGGTCCGCCCAGTCTAGCAGTCTCTGTGCGCAAGCACCGACCTACCTAACTTAGGTTGATGGTGTAAGTGTGAATCTGGATAGTGTCGACTTTGGGAATTCTTACGTCGGAGGTGAGCGGTAAGCGGCAAGATAGCTTGGTGATGGTGAGTAATGGAGAAATTCCCGCAGCAATAATAGGTAGAGAAAGAGGGCATACGGATAGGACCAACAGATGAAAGACGGGCTGCAAGTATTGCGCTACGGAAACACACTCCCTGTGTCGGGCAAGGTGTGTAAGTGGTGGTGACAGGGTATGTCGAGCGATCAGGCGTGAATTCCCCACACCGGATGCCTGTGATGGCCCTGCCGTGTTCCCGGCATCCATGGAGACAAGCTTTTTTCGTTGCTCGCTTGGCGCCCTTCTCACTGCCACTAACAGAGCAACCGCGACGGCCGATGCCACCTCACGAGTAGGTACGCACTACGGATATTACACATCAATGTACGGATCGCGACTTGCCAATAGTGTCAGCTCACCACCAAAGAGTGCCCAGACGAGATGACTCTGCCAAGTACCGCAACCTGTGAGGATACTTTCTCATTGCCGTTCATCGTCAAGCTCCTACCTACAGATACCTGCCTGGCCTACCTACCCACCCAAGGTACGTTGATGAGGTACATACCTGGCTGGCTACCTTACCTTACCTTACCTTACCTTACCTTCCATCACCATTGCATCTTCCTTCTTATTGCTTGCTCGCCTTGCCAATCAGCCGACTATTTGAGCAGCCATTTACCACCTTGCCCGCCCTTCTTCAGCAGCCCCTCCCTTCCTACCTTCCCTCCTCCAACTCAAACCACTCGACGATCCCGTAAACAGTCAATTCCTTCCCCGATTGATTCCCGCTTCCTCTCATCAAGGTAATCATTCTTGTGCTGCTTGCCCTCTCCATGAGCTCCAGCTCCAGATGCCAAGCTTCGTTTCGTTGACGCTGACCAACTGCGCTTCTAGCCGGCCTCCCCTAGTCACTGCGATCGAGCCACCAGGTTCCTTTCCCCACCTCACTCTCATCGTCGGACGTTGAGCTCTCTCTCCCAGCTTCACCAAAGGTAACTTTCTCAGACCCCAATTCTTCGCAACTCTCAATTCTACTGCAAACACTGCCCTGTAATGTCAATTGGCTTTTTGCGACAATCTTGACGAGCTTCGCACCCAGGATCCAAGAACAACATCGTGAAGAAACACACAACGTGTGGATATCTTCTCTAGGCGCCGACGCCGGATACCCCGGGAATGACGATGGGCACATCCAAGCTCACAGGGCTCTAAAAAGAAAGAGAGACGGTCGTCTCCATAAAATGCCTCAATTGGACAAGCCTCTGACCTCTAGCTCTGGTGTTTTTTCTACAGATCCTGGCCGCATTGGGCAAGCATCACTCATCGCAAACAGTCGCCACGAGCTTCCCTCTCATACTTATTAACTCACTCACCCGTCATCATTGCTTTCTATTTGGCCTCTTGGATTTTGCTACTTCTAATTATATTCTCAATTCTTCTACTTTCATCCGCTGACAGGTTTCTTCTCTCTCCTACAGCCGACTCTCCACTCATCTCACCTCCACTCGCCTTCCGTCAAGATGCCTGCCATCAACACCATCGTCGCCCGCGACGCCGTTCACCAGCTCGCCAAGCGCGAAAACTGGGCTAAGAAGGAGGCTGGAGTCGTCGTCGTCTTCTGCATTATCTTCATCGTCGCCCTCGGAATCTCTGGTCTCATGATCTCCAAGTGCCTCGCCAGGCGCAAGGCAGAGAGACAGGCCAAGGAGTCCCAGGCCGCTTAAGCAAGACCTCTTGCCTCTAATGGAGATTACAAGAGGAAAGCTGAGCTGGGAAAGTAATGAATCTTCAAGTTGGACGCGCTTTGAAGTCGGTAGCAGCACGACGCTCTCTTCGTCGCCTTCGTATACGTCATATTCGAAGAGAGAGTCGCGGTTAGCTACATGTGGAGGAGCCAACATCATCTGTCGACAACAATCATGTTCACACCATACACATCACGCGGATCACCCACTACCAACCGCTCGTCGGTTTCGATTCTCGACACTCCGTCATAGTCTGCAGGATTTGGGTCTCACGAAAGGCGTGTACTGAAGAAAGGACATCCGGGCTGTACATAGCAGCATCACGACGACACGGGGGTTAATGCGCCAGGAGGCGGCTGTATGTCAATCGCGACGCCGCAGATACCTATTTCACACCAAATTTAATGATACCTATTTCACGTTACGCAAAGTCACATCGTTGTCTCTCGTCCACCGTTGATTTCTTGTGTGTTTACCGGATTGTTTATTCAAAGTCTTTCCTCCACTAACACAGGCATTCCCTGACTTGTGTTAGTAAGTGCTCGAGAATTGGACCCGGTTGTCATCCACTCTTCACGTCGTCTCCAGTTATTGTTTGGAAGAAACAATCCCAACTCCGTTATTTTATCTTTACCAGCGCATGGTAGCGATTCAATTCGGACATCAGATGGCATGATGTTAGCATACGACTCACTAAACCTGGTTTTTTTTATTTTTTATTTTTTTCGGCGGTTCAGGGAACAGACCCCCGTCGCAAGAAATCGAGACTTGGAGACTTGGCATCGATCGCGGCGTGTCCCTACTGCATGCGGTCGCACGTGGGAGTTTTGAGACGACTCAGACGAGACGCCTCTTTTTGTCTTGGTCCTCGTTGATTACCTACTAGTTCGGATACATTTCAGAGGCGCATTCTTGGTAAGGCAGGTTATTTGGTGCCTTCGGGACTTGCGTCGCGCTTACACGCCTCCCACGCTGGAAGGATCACTTCCCTGGGCATGTCGCCGGGTTTTAAGCTGCTAGTGCTGACAAGTGAGGATCCACCACTTGCTTAACAACCGCAAACCCGCGGTACTCAGTCTTATCCCAGACCGGGTTAACGAACCTCAAGTTCATCCGTGATGACGACCTCAACTTGTGGTAGAATCCTCAGCTCTGTTGCTATCAGACGCCACGGTCGCGTCGTATATATGGCCATGCACTTCGCTTTGAGATCTCCCGCGTCGTCTGCTGTTTGATGAATTCACATGTTTTAATTACGTGGTCTCGAACAAAAACTGCCTCCATCTTCGAACGTCTTCCTCGCCGCATACTCACACTATTCGGTCCAACTAAGGGATATCAGAGACCAACCTCAAACCAAAGCCAGGACCAGATTGGAAATTTTACGGTACCTGCATGTAAAAGATGGACCCACAACTACCGCCCCCGAGGCCCGACAGTCCTCCACGCCGGCTTCGTGCCTGCGCGCCGTGTACCCGGGCCAAGGCCCGCTGTAACTTCCGCGAGGAGAACGCTCGCCAGCACCTCTGCGATCGGTATGTTTTCCAAAAAAGACCTCGTATGAGAAGCCATCCCCCCGGGTGCCATCTGTGGAGGGATTTGGCTGTTTAAAGACTAAGTGTGTACAATTCAACTGACGTTATGTGACGGGGTTCAGATGTGAGCGGCTCAAGATTGACTGCTCCGCCAAGACGAGGGGCGTAAGGAGGACGCGGCAGATCAAGCCTCTTGTCAAGTAAGTTTCATCTCTCATGAATCTCGGAATGTATCTATTGTCAAGTGTTTTATTTTCCCTCCTCAGTGGGACACTTGGGCATAGCAGCATCTTAAGAGCACAACGGCCGTGATTAGAGACCTCTACTAACACATAAACACCACAGCCGCGTCGCAACACTAGAACAACAAATAGCCCACCTCGTCACTCCAGAAAAGTCTCCAGCGGCCTCAACGCCCTCAGCAGGAACCTCAACCTCGACCCCCTCAACCTCCTCGCCTCCCTCACACTCACACTCACACCCATCAGCCCCCCTCATCCAAAGGAACCCCCCAGGCCCTGTAACCCACAACCTCCCCTCCTACTACCAGTCCTCCTCTTCTCACTCCCCTTCCTCATCCTTGGTCGTAGCCTCAATGGCAACACCGCCCCTAGGCCTAACCTGGTCCCAAGCATCAAACATCCTCGCCGACTTCCGCGCAAACTTTGTCCCCAACTTCCCCTTTATCCAGATCGACGGACCAACCGTGGAACCGGGATCGGGATCCCCGCAGCGGCTCGCGCGCGAGAAGCCTTTCCTGTTCCGCGCCGTCATGCTCGCTGCCGCGCCGGTGGGGAAGGCAAGGGCCGAGGCTATGCATCGTGAGGTGCTGGCTGATATGGGGAGGCGGATGATGCTCGAGGAGGAAGGGGGCTTGGATTTGTTGCAGGGGGTGTTGGTTATCATTCTGTGGTGAGTACGTCCCTTCCATTGGACTGAACCTTGCATCACGTTCCTCGCCGGCGTCTACTGGGGTCCTCAAGGATATCAAGAAGAGCAATTCAACTGACAGAGTACTCCGTACAACAGGGCAGAGTGCAGATACTGGTTCGACAAACAAATCACCCGCCTAGTCTACACAGCCCTAGGCTACGCCCACAGCCTAGGCATCACTAAACCCCCACGCTCCCTCCTCCAACCCTCCCCCTGCCGCCCCGGCTCCCAATACCCAGCCCAGCAGCAATGGCAGCAGTGGCACCAACAACAACAACCAGAAGACTGCTTCTCCAACAAAGCATCCCTCAGCGCGACAGAGCACCACACCCTCGAGGAACAGCGCACCTTTCTCGGCCTCTTTTGCGTCGTGACGTCCAACTGCGCACAGTTCTCACGCAGGCAGAACCCTCTCCTTCACTGTCTTGGTTCGGACGGCGGACGTAAGTCTCCTCCTTCTCAGGGGCAGCCACAGCTCGGGTACTTGGACATCTGCTACGAGAACCTCGCCGCGTCCGGGAGCCTGGAGGACCGGATGGCGGCCAGGATGTTCAAGATGGCAGCTACCTCTGCGCGTGTCGCCGACGGGTTCGGCCCCGTGATCGACGGCGAGCGCGGGAGAGGGATGGGGGACGGGTTCGAGGAGGAGGTTGGGCGGATTCGTGCTGGTGTGGAGGATGTTTTGGAGGGACTTGATCCGCGGGATCCCTATTATGGTAACACCCCCCCCCTTTCCCCTTTCCCCTGTCCCCTTTATCCCAAAGTCCATCATGGCATATACGGAAGCCTCCTCAAGAGACCAGAACAAGAGAAGAAAACTAAGACTCAAAAACAGCATACCTCAACCTCCAACACAAAGCCCTCCTAGTCCAACTCTACGAACCAGCAACAAAACCCCCGACTTGCTCTTCATCCTCTCTATACCCCCCCGCCTTCCCAAACATAATCACCGCCGCCACCACCACCAACACACCACCCAACCGCACAACCTACCTCCACGCAGCCCTCTCCGCCGCGCGAACCTACTTCGACGCCGTCCTCGCCTTACCACCAGAAGCCTACATCTACCGCACCTCAGTCGACATGGGCCTAGCCCAGGGCGTCCTCGCCGTAACAACACGACTGCTCGTCCTCCACGGCGTAGAGGGCTGGGGCCTACCCCGCGCGCGTGCGAAGATGAACTTCGCCGACGTCTGCGACAACTTGATCACGTTTCTCGGACGGGTGCTGCAGGCGGGCAGGGAGAGGATGGGGCGGCTGAAAGAGGAGACGTGGGTTAGAGGTGATGGTAGTGGTGGTGGTTGTGGCAGGGCGTATAACACCGTCGAGTTTGACTGGGACGATATCAGTGGGGGTAGCGACATTGATGCAAGAGGCTCCATGTGCGAGGACTTGATTGGGAAGATGAGCTGGATCAAGGATTGGTACGAGACTCGCGTTCGAGCGGAGGATAGCGGCGTGACTACCACTGCCGGCGGTGGCGGCGGGGGGAGTGAAGCGGCGAACAAGGAGTTGATGGAGGAGATTGCGAGGATTTGGCACTGGCCTGCGGACGCGGCGAGTATGCCCATGTTTGGGGGTTTGATTAACCCCTTTGATATTTGTTACGACAGTATTTGACGAGACACAATGTCCATTTACGATTCCCAGCGAGAGAATGATGGTTTACGAGCACAGAGGTGTATTCACCGTGCCATGTCTATGTAAAGAGATAATAAAAATACAGAATCTGGGTATGCCCTGGAATTCATCCGTTCGCTTGTCGTTGCGCCATGGTAATAAATAAAGTCAGTCGGTACAGTCTATCGTAGCATACGGTCTACCACCCCCGTTCCTTGGATCTGAGCTATCTTTGAGGGCTCTCTTGAAATCTTCTGTCGCAGAGGCACACACGACCAGGTGTGCCCTGGTCATTGCTCTCCTTAACACGCGGCCTCTCACTCAGAGGAAATCCCATGCAATCAGCATGGGTAGTGCCACCAACAGGAACAAACAAGCGATGAGCGCTGGAATGACGGGTGGCACAGACTCAGCTGCTTCCTCGAGGAACCAAAATAAGTCGGCGAGCGGTACAAGAATTACTCTACGGAGCAGATCGATAGCACTCCGTGAACGACGGCAACAACGACAGCGGGTCCAGAAGCTGTGGCGGTAATTGACATCGTCGTGCTTGGGTGCTGAGAGAGCATTCCGCACATCGGCACTCAGGTCTGGTAATGAACGGGAAGATGGTCGACCTTTTGTTCTTGTCAGCACGAGAGTTTCTGATAATCCTCGGGAAATAAAACAGATAAATGCCAGAGCATACAAGAAAGGTTGTGTGATGAACTGATTCAGTGGGTGAGATGGTGGAGACACATCAACGGGAGTGAGTGGGTGTTTGTGGACAAGATAAGTGGAGGACCGGGGAGAAGAGAAGATCCCGAGAATGTAGGATTAGGCAAGTGGGTAGGGGGTTGGACGCCGGATACTCACTGAGGGGGTTCCGGGGTGGCAGCGGCGACCGGGCGCCGGAGGCCGGAAGGGGAGACCTGCTGCCGTCGGGCGGGATTTCCTGGGTCCGACCCTTAGTTCTGGCGTAGTAAGCTAGCTAGCTGTTAGAATACCGATAGAAACGCATGACAGATAGCCACGGGTAAAGATGGCGGTGAAGAGACGTACGCATTTTCTCTTACTCGAGCGGTCGTGCAGGCGGACTTTGTCCTACTCTTGGGCTTGGTAATACCGGTCGTGGAGCGAGGCTTTCCGTGATAAGTTTGGACGTCCTTGTTGTCCCCGGTCGGCTGCTGTTCAATCGCAAGAGCCGGGACGTATGTGTTGATGATGCCAGAGATGAAGGGCTGGCATTCCTCGGAATCTCAATAAAGGGAGAGAGATTGGGCGGGGAAAGGAATGTTGCAAGCGGAATTGCTTTGGTGGCGGACCAGTTTAGCTTGGCCCCCCTTTGCCTCCCCCTCGGTCTCTGTTTCTTGCAGGTATCCGTACAGGATGGGGCCAGGAAACGTGTTGTACGGATGATTCGATTGAACAAGGCTCTTGGACCTCCTTTGATGTCTGATGTGCGCGAGATTCCGAATCGACAGGTATAAATCTGAAATGAGAAAGACTGCCTCGCAACGTCGAGCTGATTGAGTGGGATGGGATGCCAATGTCGCTATGTGGATGCCAAGACCAAGGGCCTGGGTGTTGTGACCGATGGGAGGTTGGAAAGTTGATGCGGTGGGCGGTGCACGAGATGCAACCAAGTCTCTCTGCGTGTACGAAGTAAGGACGAGTATTCGCAGATGGCGGAAAGAACTGATGAGGTAAGGTAGGTGATGCAGCCGATGTAGAGATCTACAGCCAGCTGCAGCGTGAGGGATCCGTACTCCGTACTTGGCAGCTGCAAAATAAATGTGGATAGGAAAGGGAAGCGAGGCGAGAGGCAAATTGGTGGATAACCTCAGTTAGTAGGTATCCGTACATGTATCCGTACCAAACACGAAGATGTCAAGGTGAAGATTGAAGGAGAGAAGCCACGGGCGATGCTTGATGCCAAGAAATCAAAACAGAAGCCAACCAAGCGTGGCTGCTCAACCCGCACAGATGCCGCTGCAAGCGTCGAAGGATTTGGATATGTTCCTTCGTTGTTGCCCTGGGTTTCTCTGTCCCCGTGCTGTGCAGTGCTTTGGTGCTTAGCCGTGTAGTGCTTGCTGTGCTTGCTGTGCTTGCTGTGCTGTGCTTGTTGTACAATCTTTTTAGAGTTTGGCGCCAAAGTACAACTGAACCCCAAGCATTGCTGTGTAATTGTTAGCTCCTCCTCCCCCGTTGATGTCCGTCGTTTGATTGATTGGAAATGCTTGGCGTGGAGATGAAGAGGTGAGGATAAGCCACAATCGCTAGGCCCGCGTGAGCATAGGTCCTAGAAAAACGGATAGGATGGGCGGCGAGGCTGGCTAGTCATCATCACAGAAACCAAGGAATCACTCAGAGTTTCCGACTACTCTCGAGTCTCTAGCAAATGAAAAGGGGGGCGGGGACGGACGGGTGGTAAGGCATTTCTTCTCCGCCGAGAAATGCCAGTTGGCCAAATCATGACTGGGTGCCGCCCGCCCTCCAGGTGACATTCCCATCAGAAGATTCAAGAGGACTGAGGAGGGAAACCTTCAAGTTTGGAGGACGTTTTGCACAGCCTCCTTTTCTCGAACGCCGTCCCTTGCCGGGAACCACCTTGTCGACCCCGGTGGGCGCGTGCGATTAATGCCGCCCAAATTTGCGCTTCATGCCGCGAGGTGAGAGGTCTAGTCCAAGACTCCCAAGACTCCAAGGTGAGTATGGGGGGCGGCGATGAGCACAGGCCCTAAAGGTAAATACTAAACCCGCCAAGACTGACTGAGGATGACAAGTTGTGACGACCGAGTTGCAGAATTGTATATTTCTGTATACACCTCATGTACAAGAGATGATATAACCGTTACCCAAGTGGCAATTGTCGGAAGCAAAGCGCTTCTCATTTATAACTCCGAAACAGAGCAGGTGCCCGACTGGGCAGCCGCTTTCCGTACCAAGGTACGGAGCATTCAACGTCATAAACACAATTACCTCCAGCTCTTTGCTCAAAAGTATCAAAAAGACAATTTGCCAAGGAAAGTCATTAGAGCCAGCACAGCCAGCATACCTCCGCTCATAACCATGTATTCCTCGTGCTCAGCCGCTTATAACTACTCCGCTCTTGTCCATGGTACCCCGTATCAGCAGACAAGTCCTGCTTGGAATACTTGCCGCGCCACGGCCTATCGTTCGCCTCTTCGAAAAAGTAGTGATTTGCACCGCTCGTGTACGCAACGCGCCACGGCACAACCAGATCCCTCTTGACCGGCCCGCCGCCGCAGCTGCCCTTGAGCTGCTCGCTCGGCGGCGAGTTGACGGCCAGCGCAAACAGGTTCTGCGGCTCTGTAAAGTCCGTCACCAGGCCGGAGCGGGAGAGGAGGTAGGCGAGGCAGATGATGTTGATCACAAAAACGAGGGCGAGGACGAGGTAGAAGCACTTTTGCCACTCAGCGCTGTGACCCGAGGTGTATTCCTGTGTGCGGATCGAGGCGTTGAAGGGGTCTAGGCTACCCGGCGCGCCGAGCTGCGTCTTTTCGTGGCGCCAGTAGTGTTCGAAGGGGGTGTTGAGACCGCCGATGATAAGTGTTGATGAGGCGTAGACGGCGAGGGCTTCGGCTATCGACGGGAGGAGGGGGTTGAGCTGCGGCTCTTGGAGGACGAGTTGGGTGAGGATGCGGGCGTTGGAGGCGTTGTTGTTTTGGGCTCCGCCGTTGATGTCCATTGACAGGCGCCATTGATCCGCAATGTTCTACGCAGAGACATGGGTGAGTAACAACGAAGAAAGTGACGAGCGAAAGGAGTTGTTAGGGGCTCCTTACCCTCCAGTCCGTCACGGGGGTAGATTCCGTGACTTCGGTGTGGACGTTGGTGTAGCTGTCCGTATCGTCGGGGTCATCGCAGTGCGCTTGCATGTGTGCTCCAGCTGTGCCCGAGATGTTGAAATGAGTTGAGCAGTTAGGTGACACCCAGGATCTCATCTCGCAAAGAGTATAATCCGTGATGGAAGCTGACTTTGTGAGTAAGTAGATAGCGTCGCCCACTACCGATGTGTTGGTTATCATGTTGTAGTCCTCAGGGTACTATCGGTTACTATTAGCCACTTCTTCGTTAATGTGCTCATCAGGATCACTTACAAGCGGGAACACCGGCGGCCGTCGCCCATAGTCCTCGCCCCAGCGAAAGATTTCATCCACCGACGTTCGATTCAGCCACTCAGTTTCCGAAGGGCTGGGAACATATCTCTCCCAGTCCGATGGACCGGTTTTCTGACCTGGAACTGTCGTGTGGTCGTAGTAAAACTCGGCAACGGGCCACGCTGTATAAATCAGTGGCTCCAATTCCTCGGGAGACATGTTGACACACATGACATTCAGTGCCGGCGAGACCACGCTCGCTCTGATGCCGTACTCGCCAACGCCTGATAAGTCATTCGGCTGAAGAATCTTGTTGACGGGATTCGTTGCTGCATCATAGACACTCGGGTGAGGCATTGCGAGTGTCACATTGTTAATTATCCTGCCGAACCGCTCGTGTTGCTCAGTCGTGTTACTATTGGTCGTCTCAATCCAAGTCGAAGTGAGAGTTGTGTTGTCGTACAGCAACGCCGTTCCAACTGGACGATCTTGAACGTCAACAGCAGCGCTTGTGCCGTTGCGATTGATGGCTTCCCAGTCACCTAGAAACGAGACCAAGTTGCGGTATGCTTCACACAAGTTGTCAGCATCAATCAGACAGTACATCGCCATTAGAAAGACGCCTACATTGACCAGCATATTGCACTTCAAGGCAAGCGTTTCCTGCGATATCAACACCCAATGGGTCACTATCTCGCAACGGTGTCGGGCAGGTTTCACGCGCATAAGGGGGGTTCATGTAGGACGCCAGGACATAGCCGCTCAATGTCTTGGTCTCCCACTCGCCGAATTTGAGTTTGGGCGTGATCATGGCGTCTGACGCAGTTGTGTAAAACGTTGAAGCAATGGTTGCAACGAGAGACACTACTCCGAGAAGGGTCATACCGGCGTACGGCAAAGTCTCCCAATGTGTGATCAGAAATCCAGGTTGCTATCAAATGTCAGACTAATCCGGCAACACGACACGACCTTGACTCACAATAACCCAGTTCCTCATTGTCATCTCAGCCAAGGTCATGCCCTCTGACCTTCTCACGAATGCGCGGCGTGTTAATACCTGACCGATAAAGGTAACAAACACGGTCACGAAAGATATTTCAATCGTCTTGGCGAACATTGCGCATACCAAAGATGCTGTTGCTGGTAGGATGCCACCGCTTGATGAGATTTGGGGGCCCCAACGCGGCTGCACAATAGCCACGACGAGCCAGAGGCAGCTCAGTCCTGTGGAGTAGAATGAAAGAATCAAGATGGATATTGAAAGCCAGTTATGCTTCTTCCTGTGAACATCATTCCGTGAGTCACAATAGGTCGGCGGACGGCCTCAATTGCGTGTCAGTAGTCACTCGGGATGGACTAGCTATACTGGGCACGGCTTACCGAATCTCTTATAAAATGCTTCCTCGTCGTCCATTGGATCAGGCTCTTCAAGAGAATTCTCATCACGTTTTGTTGAACTTTGACCAGACGTCGTTTGAAGCGGCCTGACCTGTTGCCGATTCTCTTCCTTTCCTGGAGTCACATGTCCTAGGTCTCCCATTTCCTCCGCCTCTAGGAGAGGCCATGGCTTCGAAGACTTTGGCGGATCATCCCACGCCATTGATGTTTTGCGCTTTGAAGTTGCTGTGTGTTTCCCGTCTGGAGACGACCAAGATGATAGTATGGGCGAGATTATGTCTAGATCTGACTCGGGTGACGACGGTGCGACTCGGCGTCCTGTTATTCGTGGTGGTGCAGGTCTAGGCTTCGGTGTACCTAGAAGGCCTTTGTTGGAACGAGGCGTGGCGGGCGAGCTGCTCTTAGAACCAACGGGGACGCGTGCGAAGGAGACTTGGTTGGTAGCTCCTTCCACTGATATGCCAAAGGGGTCTCTTCCGTAGAAGCTTGGCTTTTCAGATTGAGATGGGGCGGTGCTCTGGTTATGTGTAGTGCCGTTGAGGGTCGAAAGGTCCATGTCGAAACCAGGTGTCATTGGTTCATAGCCATCTTTCCGGGGAGGTGATGATGAAAGAAAGCCGTTTGGAAAAGAAGAGTTGCCATCTTGCCTTTGCGAGCCGAGCAGGTGAGTTTCCTCCGCCTCAGGGATGGGGTCTATGGAGAGGGAGACGTGACTACGATCGGTCTCTCCCATGATGGGTGGGTACCAGAGAATCTCAAGGTCCTGGTGTCACTACAGGGCAAACATCAAAGACCGACGATGATCCAATGAGACATGAAAAAGGGCGGTGGTTCCGTCTCTCCAAAGATTGGCGCAGCGTCTGGTTTCTGATGTGGTATCTTTGGATAATACGGGAGATGGATCCTTGGCGCCTGTGATGAGAGTTGGTTCCAATCGGGGGTATGTCGGCTGTGCCGACAGCAAGTCAAGCAATGCTTCTTGAGATACTGGTGGTAAAGGCGGAGGTGATCGTCTGGACGTCTGGACGTGCGGTGGATGCCAACGTCCGTTGAAGCCGTAATTACGTCGCGTACAGCGAGGTCTTGGTGTTGCGTAGCACAAGATGTGACACAGCACAAACAAATCAGAGTGTGTTGTATGAGACTCGCAAGGGGATGTGTATGAAACCTTGTTGGCTGGGTGTTGGAACCGTTTGTCGTCGTCTAGTTACGTTTCCTGGAACAGGATTGACGGAGTTCAAAGGGGCATCCTTCCGGGACGCGGACCGCAAACGGGTGCACAGGGAGACCAAAATTAGCATGCGAAAAAAAGGAACAGAATGGTGCATATGAGACTTCGTGGTGTCTGTGAGACCAAAGGCGAAAACAGGGAGAGGTATGATGAAGCAGTTGAAACATGAAACCAAATGTATTAGTTGGAAAGGGGGAAGAGAGGCTCTCCGAAGCTGGTTTATCTTGAGATTAAACCGACCTCAGCTTGTGGCCTAGGCAGGAAAACCGGATGGCATCGGGGAGGAAGAAGACTTCTTCATATGTGAGAGCCTCGACTGCTAGATGCTGTCAACTCCATCCTCCTGGCCCACCTCGCCTGTCGTGTCGAGGATCACTGCTTCAAACTCGCAGGGAATTCAGGTAGAATATGCAAGAATCCGGCGCGGATCTTCGGACACGTAGAGTGAACCTCTACCCCGTATCGCTGAGGCTATCTTACCTGACATAACGGTGCTCAGCCAGGGGGTGTTTGCTGGGAAAGAAGGCTAGCTTTCTCAAGCAACGGTGCATGAGCTGACGGAGAGAAGGGGGATTGGAGGGGGCTTCAAGCGGGAGAAGCGAGGGTCACCGCCGCCCAAACCTGCATAATGTCCGGGGGGGTAGTGCAAAGTCTGGATCGCGGCGCGGATGAGGCTAGCAATGGAGAGACTGTTGGTTAGGTCGGCCAGGGTGGCCGCATCCCGGAATCAAGGCTTGGCTCCGTTGGTTGGAGTCGTGGAACCTTGTCAGACTCTTCTTTTTCAGACGAGGCCGATGCAAGGGAGACGAACATGACGAACGTGGTTCGAGTGTAACAATATGTCCAAAGAACATGCCCCCCTCCCCCACGTCCATCTAGCTTGCGCTTATCGATCGGTTTGAGCTCTTGTAGCGTACGATGCAGGAGATGCTCGATGGGGGTAGATAGAGCGAGGCTGTGCGGCTGCGGCTTGCCGTTCGTGACCCAACTCCCAAGTTGTGCACCACACGTTCTCGTCACACGCATGATGCCGCATCCTCCTCCATGTTGTTTCTAATTTGGACCATCCCACCGCGGCGGAATCGTCCTAATCAAGCTAGTCCACCCACCGCGTGTGGTAGACCTTTCGGTCGAGGTTCTTGGTAAATTCCTCTTGTCACCGCTCCAAGATACCTAGTCATCGGGTTACGGGCACGAGCAAGGTACACAACGGGCGATCAACGACTCGCTGCCCTCTCCCAACAGATCGAGCGGCGTAGTGCTTACACGTGGGAATCTTCTCGTCTCATTTTGGTTTTCATTACTCTGTAACAGTGAAAGAAAGAAGCCACTGCTTACAATATCCTGATATCATCTATCAAACACCCTTCCCAGGATACATGCGCTTCGCCTCTGCGCCGATCGCCGCCAGCCTGTACACGTAAAGGTCCGCCCATGGTGATTAAATGCACAACTTCATAGCTCTCAAAATAGCATCAGCAGCTTATGCTCGGACTGCACCTGCTCGTCTCGACGCCTGGCTTCCAGCGCCAGCCCTTCTTTGAGAATTCGGCTTGTTCAACGTGTACTTGGCGAAGGCGCGTGCCAATGCCTTCTTGCAACTGACCTTCTGGCTTCCGACGAAACTTTCGACAATTACGGCAATGGCTCTGTCAGTATCCTCTGCCTTACAGTACTCTGAGAGTCTCATCTTTGCGAAGGCCTCGCTAATACGGATAATGGCTTCGAGATGACGTACCTGTGGTGATGTTAGTTGGCTTGTTATTTCGGGGTGTCATTTGGAACTACTCACGGTGATGGGATATGCGCCAGTTGCCAGGGATTCTCTTCTCATATCGGCGAACAGGCGCGCAACCTTGTCTTCGTCCATATTGTACAACTTGGGACTGACACGATCGCGCGCATACAGAATGTACTTGCGAAGGAGTGCTTGAGGGATCTCGCCCTCCTTCCTCTGCGATTCTGCTTGCGTTTCTTGGTTCTCTGACTCGTGCTCGACCTCCATCGAATCCTCCCCGGGTTGTGATGTCGATGGATGGCTGCGGCTGTGAGAACCAACGATAAACCGAGCAAGACGCTCGTCCTCTTCAGGCTCAACTGTATCCCGGACGACGCAAAGAATGTCGAAACGAGACAAGATAGGCTCTGTGAGTTCAACGTTGGCGGAGAAGGGGATTGTTGAGTTGTATCGACCGCCAATAGGGTTAGCTGCAGCAATGATACCGCAGCGAGCCTGAAGAGTCGTGACGATACCAGCCTTGGAAATGGAAATAGTCTGCTGCTCCATGGCTTCGTGAATTGACGTCCTGTCCTGGTCATTCATCTTGTCGAATTCGTCAATCAGGCAGGTGCCCTTATCGGCAAGCACCAAAGCGCCGCCTTCGAGAGTCCACTCGCTCGTCAGAGGGTCTCTCCGGACACTGGCCGTCAAACCAACGGCACTGGCTCCCTGTCCCGTTGCAAAAACGGCACGATGAGCCGTCTTTTCCACATACTTGAGGACTTGGGACTTCGCCGTACCGGGATCACCCAGCAACAGAACGTTGATGTCTCCGCGGACTTGGTGAGAGCCTCGCCCTACTTTCGCAACACCTCCAAACAAGGACAGCGCCACCGCCGTCTTGATATCATTATGACCGTAGATACTCGGCGCCATGGAGTTGACAATCTTCTCAATGATACCGGGTTCGCGAGACAGCTTGCGGATCTCATTCTCATCCTCTTCAGTCATGCGGAAGCCTGCAAGTTGGTCGTGGGACTTGACAACGTTGTTTGCCTCCAGAATAGTGGCGAAAACAGGGAATCCGTTCTTGTTGTTCAACTGAGCGTCGTAGTTATTTCTGTATACGCCAGTCACCTCAATCTCTTCACCAGGCTTGGCCTTGTCGATAAGGTCCCAGAGAAGGATGACGTCTCGGTGGCGAGGCAAGCGACCTGCTGGGACTGTGCCAGGCGACTCCTGGAGGGTGAGCTTCTGGTAGTTACGGTATACCGTCTTTTCAGAGTTCAGAGTGAAGGGGCCTCTGGACTGGCAGGCTTGGCAGTACGAAACTTTAACCTCGGTATTCGCTTCTTGTTGGAATGGGCCGAGTGTGACGCCGCACTTGGTGCAATCGAATTTGACATACTTGAGCTGAGGGAAGACGCCGGTTCTCTTCGTGACAACTCCGCTGACACGCACCAAACAGTTCAAGTGTGATTGACGAAGCTGTCTCAGGGTATAGTGAACGGGAAGGTCGAAAATGCGGACGTGGATTTCGGAGTGGATACGCTCGTAGTCGGGGTAGTGAAGGAGCACGACATCCATGGCAACCTCATCGAAGAGCTTGAGCATCTCGGAGGGTGCGTTGGCCAAGAAATAAGCGAGAATTGCCTTGGATGTAGAGAGTTCTTCGTAAGAGACTTCAAGAGACTCAGCGTTGATCTCACCAAGGGTACGAATGCGGTTTCCGTAGACAGAGGAGCCGTGATCGTCGGTGTACTCTGTCAAGAAAGCTTTGAACTCTCTCTTGATGGTCCGCTGCACGAATGGTTGGGACACCCATTCCGTCAGACTAGCCGCCTTGACATCCTGCAGGGCCTCGAGAGAAAGCTCTTCATCCATGATGTCGGCATCCATGTCTTCATCGGGATCCTCGTCGTAACGATGGCGCCGACGTCGGGGTTGAGCCGAAAGGTCGATGTCGCCTTCGTCATCTTCTCCAGGCAGGAACGCGGCAGGAACTCGTTGGCGTCGAGCGACTTCTCTGTCTCTACGATTGAGCGTGGCCTCGAGCCGTCTTCTCGCAGCTAGGTCCATGTCTCCGTATTCGCCCTCGTCGTCGATGTCGAGAGCTTCGTATCCATCATCGTCCCTGGCTCTGTAGTCTACCTCGAATCCCTCACGGAAAAGGTCGACTTCGTCTTCGGCCATTTCATCAAGTTCGTCCAAGTCATCCTGAATCTCCGCGTCGTCCTCAATGTCCTCGTCGTCGTCCCCACCGTGTGCCATGAGAGGAGCGGGAGGCGATGAGGGCATAGGACTCGAAGCTGGGCCGATTGATGAGCCATCGTCGCCATTTGTGCGACCACGCTTGCGACTCGATTGTGCGGCCAGTCCTCTGTTGGCAGAGCTGGGGTTGCTTCGAAGGGGAGAACTGCATAAACGATTAGCGATGAAGTCTTTTCCTCATGTACCACAGTGGAGCGACTCGTGTCAGGGCCGACTGCAGCAATACCGTGAGCCTTACCTCATGGCGGCGGTGTGTCAAGAAGGCTCTGTGAACTGAATCGACTATCCTTCTAGACTGCGGAGGTTTGTGACAAATTCGACAGAAGCGGATGTGAAGAAGAGGGGGGATGCAGAAACGGGGAGAAGGAGTGGGATGAAATTACTAGAGGGCCCCATCCACGTCGCCAGGGGGAATCGCGTCAGGAGTGAGCGCGTAAAGTGGCGCTTTGCCTAAACAGGACAACGCGTAAATGGGCAATTGTGGACAGCTGCGAGGAAAGTGCAGGGTACGTATCTGACGTATTACCATCCCCAAACGCGACTTCTCAATGGTGCTGCTCTGCTTCCATACCTTCGCTGTCGCAATCAATCGATCTGTGGATTTTAAATCCATTTCTTTCGCCATTCTTTGACGATTGCTCCAACCATTCAGGAATCATTCGATCATCTGGAGTTCAGATTGCGCATTTCTCACAATGTCAATGGACCCCCCTCCACCACCTGCTCCGGCTGGCGACGCTGATGTGCCGGTCGTCGCGCCGAAGACGACACGCAGCGAAAGCTTCTCGTCACAGAAATCCACCGACTCTCAAACTGCTGCTGAGTGCGCCATTCTTTCATATCCACCAGTGTTGAGCCTCGGCTGACAGCTGTCTTTCGCACAGATTCATTAGAGACCAGATGCAACTAGAAGCCGACGCGCGCGAGGCTCTTCCCTATGTTCGTCTTACCGCAACTCCCTTCTACTACAAGATCAGCCATCCTAACTTTCTACAGAGCATCGAAAGCTGCACCAAGATTCTTGGTTCCCTTCGCCAGAGTGTCTTCGCCTGCCTTACCTGCAATCCTCCGCCCGCCGATTCGAAGGACCCTTACGATGGTGCAGGAGTTTGCTATGCTTGCTCTGTCCAGTGCCACGGCGAGCACACCCTCGTCGAGATATTCACCAAGAGAAACTTCACGTGCGACTGCGGTACTAAGAGATTCCCGTCTACCAACCCCTGCAGTCTGCGCATCAACCCTGCGACTAATACCAAGGGCGGCGTGCACTCGGAGGAGCCGGACGCGAACAACAAGTACAACCAGAACTTTAGGAACAGATTCTGTGCGTGCGAGTGTGATTATGATCCGTTTCAGCAGAAGGGTACCATGTTCCAGTGCTTAGGACTGGGTACGTCCGAGACAGGCGGCTGCGGCGAAGACTGGTACCACCCTGGCTGCTTGGTTGGAATGGGGCCCAATTGGTTTGAGGGCATGAAGAAGGAAAATCCTACAACTGGGAAGGATCCCGCAGAGGCCACACCTTTGCCCACAATCTCGGAAGATTCAGAAGCGCACCCCGGGGACAAAGCCACAACCGCCAAGAAACAGGATGAGGATGGGGAGGACGAGGACGAAGACCCACCGATGCCCCCCGGCTTTCCAGGCGAAGATGACTTTGAAGCATTTTTATGCTACAAATGTGTTAACGCCAACCCGTGGATCAAGAAATATGCGGGCGCCAAGGGATTCCTACCAGCGGTCTTCTCGACGCAGAAGAGCGCAGATGCATCAGGCACAGAGGAGACAGCCAAGAAACGAAAGGCAGAAGAGGATGTCGACTTATCAAACACTAAACGATTCAAAAGTACTTCTGGGTCAACCGAGGACGAGCTCGACAGCAGTGCTCCGGAAGTCAAGCAGGAGACTCAGGAGGCATCGTCCGCTACCTGCCGGTGGGCTGCACTTCCATCACCACCGGCTGAAGAGTTCTCGCTCTTTATGACAGAGGACTTTCGCAACAACATCTGTCGATGTTCATCATGCTATCCTAATCTAGACCCGCACCCACAGCTTCTGGAAGAGGAGGAAACGTACGAGCCGCCTCTGTCTGACGGCGGAATCTCGGAGCACGGGGGATCCACAAATGGCAGCGGCAGCCTACTAGATCGTGGAGAGAGTGCCTTGCGCAATGTAGATCGTGTCCGTGCAATCGAAGGCGTCATGGCGTACAACCATCTGAAAGACCAGCTGAAGCCGTTCTTTCAGCAATTTGCAGAGAGCGGCAAAGCGATCGGCGCAGAGGACATCAAGTCTTACTTTGCTAAACTCAGAGGCGACGATCAGGCCATCAAGGATGCGGGAGGGGCAGCGAATGGGTCAAAGGACGAAGAGAATGACCAGCGTCGGGAGCAAAGTGGCTACTGATCTACCTGGGTATCACGGTCTCCTTGGCACTTTAAGTTTTGTTGTATGATAGCGTGTATGCCGGATTCGGCTTGATGTCGACCGGCAGATGACTTGCCACAAGGATATGGTTCATGAGGATATAGGCCCTTCTTCAATTGAGATCATCTGGGTTGAGCTCACCCAGCTCCGAATATTAATTTCATTTTTCTAGAAGACCGAGTGCTGGGTCAAGCTCATCTCGCGCCTCCTTGAGAAGCTTATCACATTTCAACCTCATCTTGAAACTGCCCACGCTCAACGCTTCTGCGTACCTGGCCGGTCGCTCTTTACTAGGTAAGGGGTTATGAGTGCAAAGTAGAATATTGGCTACTCAGACATGAAAGGTGTGCCTATCGCGGTGCCAACTCTCCAGGTTGCAGGCCATACGACAACCAGCTGCTTATGTTCTATGGCGCTGTGAGCACATGGCTAAAGTAAGCTTCAGGCTCGATTTTTTGTCACAGGACAACGAGCATGAGGGCTTCTTCGAAAAAAGCCCCCCGTGCACCCTCAAAACGCGTCATGGCTATTCCAAGTAAAGTATGTCAGCCATGATGGCCGCAGTGAGGCTGGTCTGAGTTTGACATCGGGGTACACACTGTTGACGTGCTTCCTATCCAGAATGGCATCGTCGATTTTTGATCTTGTTTTGAAAAAGCTGGGAGTTATAAGGTAGACTAGTCCCATTGATGAAGCCGAATTTAATGGATCAGTTCCAAATCTCCTCCTGCTCATGCTCGTCGAGAGGTCTCAACTCTCGAGATCTTCTTGAACATTTCGGTTACTTCCTGGACTTCCGAACCACAAACCACTCGGACCTTGATTATCCTCTTCTACGGGTGAATTCATATACATCATTTCCTCGCTAGAGCGTGGCACCAGAATCACCACGGGCCAGGCTTGCGTGAGGACCTTGGTTGGCACTTCCCGATACGGCGCCAATCCGGCGGCGGGACTTGGGGCTTTCAAGATGGCAGAGAGCAATTCTCTCTGCCATCTTGAAAGCCCCATTTCTGATATTGAGCTCAAGGAATAATGTTGTTGAACGTCGAGTGATTCCTCGGCATGGCTGGATCTATCATGTTTGGTAGAGAGAAAGAAGATAGCTGTCTGGGATGAGCGCGAGTGGAAAGAAGCCTTGGAGCAACTGCCACTCGTGTAGCCGTAGAGACCCGGAACGCCCTTTCCAAACCTTGTGAAGTCTCGATCGTCTCATGACCTGTATCCTGCCCATAAACCATCTTTGTTATCGTTACATGAGTCGATCAGAGTGGTCGAGTGCCGTGGAATTTTCGTCCCGCCCCTCCTTGCTTCCATCGGGATGCCCGTCCTTCGAAGCTGCTGCGTTCCCTTCATATAAACCGAGTGCCCACCTCGGCTTTCATCATCTTGTCACTTCTTTCCCCAAAATTCGTTCCCTAATCTCGCCACTTTCACCCTCATTCTTTGTATTTTCCTCTATCCCGGCCTTTCCATGATGGCTCCTAAAAAGGAGGCAACGATGTTGGAGATGAGGGCCACAAGATCGCCCAGCGACCAAGGCGTGTCCGATCCTATTGACGCCGCCGAGGGTGCTAAGCTCGAGCGGAACATTTCCATTCGGCATATGGTATTCATGGCGCTGGGTGGTTCCATTGGTGGCGGTCTCTTCGTCGGCTCTGGTGCCGCTCTGGGCTCTGGCGGACCTCTGTCTCTCGTTCTCAACTTCGCTCTCGTCGGCTTCGGCGTAACGTGCACCATGGGCTGCCTGGGCGAACTCGCCGGTGGGTGTTCTTCCGCAATCTCTATCCCTTAGTCCCTCCCAGTATCGACATGCCAGATCGCAACAATAGCAAAAAGCTGACATGTTGTCGCAGCCGCGTATCCTGTAGCAGGCGCCTTTTACGAGTACTCGAGACGCATGATATCGGAACCCTGGGGATTCGCAATGGGCTGGAACTTCGTCTTTAACTGGCTCATTGTCTTCCCTTTCGAGCTCACGGTGATCGCGGCTCAGATCAAGTACTGGGCCCCAGACTTGCAGCCTGCCTATCTGATAACACCAATTCTGGTCATTCTGACCGCGACCTCGTTCCTTGGCTCCAAATGGTTCGGCGAAATTGAACATGCCCTCGGCATCGGAAAAGCCCTCGCTATTACCGTCTTCATCTTTGTTGCAATCTTCATCATCACTGGCGCTGTTCCATCGGATCCCCGGTACGTATCTTCTGCTTGAATCGCAGCTTCGATCAAATCAATCTGACCTGTCATAGACACGGAACAGGAGCCAAATTCTGGCACGATCCAGGCGCTGTGAAGAATGGCATATCGGGCTTCTTCCTCGTCTTCCGAACCGCCGGCATGTCGTACGGTGGCACGGAGCTCCTAGGCCTGACGGCTGCTGAGTGCAAGAACCCCCAGAAAGCCCTACCTTTGGCGACGAAGATCGTATTTGGCCGCATCTTCTTCTTCTATATCATATCGCTTCTCTTGCTCGGTTTCGTTGTCCCATCCAATGATCCTGGTTTGGCCTCGACCGGTCACGGTGCCAAGTATAGCCCTTTCACGCTTGCAGCAGAACTCGCCAACATCCAGCATCTCCCAAGCTTCTTCAACGCCCTCATCGTCTTGGCAATCATTTCCATGGCCAACACTAGCATCTTCGCTGCCAGCCGAGCCTTCCAAGCTATCTGCGAAAGGGGCATGGGCCCTCGGTGGGGAGCCACCGTGAAATGGGGCGTGCCTGTATACGCCTTCGCCATCACGTCCGTTTTTGGTCTCCTTGCCTTCGTCAACCTGGCACCCGGCGGCGGCGCCATCTTTGACTGGCTATTGAGCCTTTCGGGAGCTAGCAACTACTACACGTGGGCATCCATCTGCGTCAGTCATATTCGTTTCCGTAAGGCATGGGCCGCGCAAGGCAATGACACCAACCAGCTTCTCTGGAAAAGCCCTTTTGGTGTTTGGGGCGGCTGGGTTGGACTCACCATTTGCATCATAGGGCTCTCTGCAAATGTCCTGACGGCAATCTGGCCCGTCGGTGGCCACGATGAGCAGGCCATCATCCGCGACAACATCGGAACGGTGATCCCGATCATATTGTATATCGGCTACTGGGTTTGGCAGTCGAGAATCATGAAGGTGAAGCAGCCTGTACTCGTGCCATTAGATGATATGGATGTGCAGACCGGTATCCGTCTGCTTGACGATGTCCCTATCTCGGACGATACGGGGTTCACTTTAGTCCGTGATGAGAAGTGATTTGTGCCGTCGAAGTACAGCTATAACGCTGAGCTGACTGACCGCATCGGTCAGGGGATTGAACGCCGAGAACCAGTCGGGGTCGAAACAAGTGTACCTTATGTTTCCTTAGTAGTTTAGTAGTTGAATAGCCACAGTAATAGTACACAAAGGGCAGTCTCATTAGGAGTTTTGTTTCGTTTCAACAAACCATTAATTAATGTATTCGTGAAAAAGAGACCAAGGCCAAGGTGCTTGGCCAGCATGACATGAGGTATATCGCGATCGCCCATTTGCTTTGCAAGCGATTCTCCTTTCCAGCAATCCCCAACGCCGGTAACTTTTTACCCAGAATGCTCCTTACGCCACCACAATTCCGATGGCATGCTTCATAAAACAGGTACTAAATGCATTATGTACTGCCTCACTGGCCAGAAGAGCCAGTGCTCGAATTCGCACTCGAGGGCCTCGGTGGCGGAACAGGCATGCTCATGGGGATGCCCAGGTCTCTCTGCATTGGGACGCCGCCCATCATGCTAGATTCCGGCGACTGCGGACGCGAGTACTCGTCACCCATTTGCTGGCTCCCGGAAAGTTGCTCCTGTGCCGCTCTCTTCTCCAGCTCCCTCAAGCGCTCCTTTTCCGCAGGGTCGATAAGATCGTCGTCGTCACTCCAGCACGGGTCCTCGTCGCTGACCTCGGGCATGGCCATGCGCTTCCAGAACCGAAGCTCCTGGCGCGCGGCCACATCCTCCACGCGCCGATCCCACCGCGTCTCGTCCTCGTCGTACTTGCGGCGGAACTTGCGGAGCACCTCGTTGGCCTTCCCCGCGCGTTCCTGCATATCCCAGATCTGTTCCCGGAGTCTGCTATTCTCGGCGCGGGCCTCGGCGAGCTGGGATCGGTACGAGCGGTGCCATGCGGCGACGTCGGTGACGTGCTTTGCCTTGTATTCGTGTAATTGCTTCAGCATTGCGGCGAAGACTGTCGCGTACTGGCTGAGGAGTGTCGCGTTAGCGTCGCGGCTGTATTTCGCTTTTTCGAGTGATTCGGAGAGGATGGAGATGAGGGTATCGAGATTCTGTTCTTGAGCTGGAGAAGCGTGTGTCAGTAACGAAGTTCGAATGTATTTAAGACATATGCGCGTGGGCGAGTAAGGGCATACCGAGGATGTCGTCTGCAGCGTTGTGAATGAGGTCGTCGTTACCCATTCCCTGCGTCCTCGCGCGGCTGCGCACCCTGCCAAGACCAGAGACTATGTCTTCTGTGACGCGACGGTTCTCCGTGAGTTGCCTGCTAAGCTCCTCGACCATGCCATAGATGTAGTTGAGCTCGGCCTGCTGGCCAGCCGGGGTGGGCACGCCGCCCATGCCGTTGGGCACATTGCCGCCGTTCATTCCGTTCATGAGGACGAACTGCTGGTACTGCGCGTGGGCGAGGGCTTGCTGGGCGGCGGAGAGGGATTGCGCGTTGGCGGACGACGCAGGCGAAGGAGGTTGCGGCGGCTGGAGGGCGTGTTGTAGCTGTAGCTGCTGTTGATGCTGTTGCTGTTGTTGCTGTTGCTGCAGCTGGAGCTGGCGAGAGGAGAATTGGACCTGCTGCTGCTGGGACTGGTGTTGCGACTGGTTGTTGGAGCTGAGGATGGGGTTGAAAGCGAAGTCGTTGGAGGTGGAAGTGGGAAAGTTCATGGCCCTTGGTGTCTCTGCCCGCTTGCGAGGAAGGAGGGGGGGTGGGATTGTGGGTTGGGTTGCACAACTGGCGGGCAGCTGTCGTGAGTGAGATGGTGCTCTGCTCTCGTGCTCGCTTCTGTGTTTTACCCGGAGGTCAGCCGGGGACGGGGTGACAGCGCCGGCGCCGCTGCCACAAGGAAAAAGGTGACCTTGATTGACAAGACACTTTCTGAGGGGTGGAGCTTATCTGGCGCGCGTGTGTCTGGGTGCGGGTGCGACGGGCCTCCTTCGTGGGATGTATCTGTTCTCCGTACCGTTTTGGGTTTGGAGTGGTAAAGAGAGGGTGGACGGGGGCAGAAGGGGGTGTGATTGCTGCGAGACGCCCATGGTGGATGTGATATTGACTTAAGCGGATCAAGTGAACAAGTTAACTGAGGATTGAGGCGCTAACGTAAGCGATACTTTCTTGGGCGAGTTATGCACAAAACGGCTATCAGTCAACTGACGACCAGCCGCTCCCCTATCCTTCGTCTCATTCAGTCTTTTCTTCCTTGAATAAAAGCCCAAGAAACACGGTGCCCAAGTGGGAAAGAAAAGCAAGAACCACTTTCAATCAGTAGACAACTAAAGACCACTCTTCCTTTGCAGCCATTCGGTACCAAGACTAGTTCTCGTCAATGTCCATGTGGCTGTTGAGGACTGAGGCCTTGGGCGTGACGTCGCAATCCTCGCCATCCTCGTTGACCGTATCGTCGACCTCATCGTCAGTAGCGAGAGCGAAGTTGACCATGATGTCCTTCATGTTCGCTACGTCCCTGCCAGCGAGTGTAAGGGTTTTGTCGAGGTGACCGCGGCTTCGCTTGCCGTTGGCCTTGGTCGGGGTAGTCGGAACACCAGTGTTGATGGGCTCATAATATTCGGGCCCAGGGCCAAGGGGTCGAGGGCCAGCGGGCTGAACCGAGGGACGCTCAAGCGTGACCGACTTCGAGGCCGACGCGATACGGACACGGTTCATCTGATGACGAGTGGACGGCGAGTTGTCTTCCTCGATGTCCGTGTCGGCAAACATGACCGTGGGAGCTGTTTTGACGCTGCGAGGGCGACCAGGAGTCTGGATGCTGTGGCCCTCCTCATAGCGGAAGCCAGGAGGGGGAGTCGAGGGGCCGCGCTCGATGTCGGGCTTGTCGATGGCCATAGCAGAGGCGGCCTCAGGGCTAGCGGTAGCCTTCGTCTTGTTGCCGAGACCCAAGTAGTGCTTGGGGCTAGGATCGAAATTCAGAACCTTGGCAATACCAGAGCCTGACTTCTTCGCACCAGTGCCCTTTCCATCATGGACGCCGTCAGAGATACGGGGAGCCTTGACCGTACGCGGAGTTCCGACAGCGTGGTTAGGCTTGGTCGGGGTGGCAGCCGGGTCTTGAAAGCTGGCGGAAGGCTCGAAGTCGCAAGCGCCATCAAAGCCGTAGACCGAGGTCATGCTAACGTTGTCATCAGGAACGTGGGCCATGTTGATTCTAGTACGATAACGGTCGTGCTCACGAGCCAAGCGGGCGGGCAGAGGCTCGTTGTACTCGCGGGGGTTTTGATCTTCGGCGTCGTACTCTGGGTGGCCAAAGAGGTCCTCTTGAGTATCTTTAGGCAACTCGCTCACCTCGCTCTCGTCAGAGTCGAAGCCAAAGGGGTCCGCGTCGGTAACTTCGGGCAACTCATGGAGCTTGTCCGTGTCGGAGTCAAAGCCAAAGGGGTCCGCTTCAGTAACTTCAGGCAGCTCGGGAAGCTCATCAAAGTCAGGGCCAGAGTCATCGGAAGGATCCTGGGCCATATGATCAGTCGCAGGCGAAATAGTGCCGCGAACATCGTCGGGGCCCTCGTTCTCATTAATGCCAAGAGACGCCATTTTTGCCCTTTATTCTGCTTTGGGAGTTCCGTGGTCGAGCTTGACTTTATGAATTAGGCTCCGGCTAGACAACAGTCAGCTAATAGTAAAAGGTAAATCGAACTGAGACTTACAGACTAGAATTTCCAGCCTGATTGATCCTCGAAGTCAGGAGGTTCGGTAAACCGAAGATGAGCTCAGATGACGATAGGTTGAGGGTCTGTCGATGAAAGCCAAACCACTTGATGAGGGGCTTCGGTCGAAAAATGTATTCTCAATCAGAGCGTTGCTGAGAATCGCGTTCGACTCCAGGGTAAGGGGGCAAGGAGAAAAAAAGAGAAAAAGCAAAGTGACTGATGATTATTGACGATGATGCCTTGCTAAACGCGAAGGGAGTCGTTTGCTAAGGGGAATTCAGGTCTGGTGATTCGCGATCCGGCGCCAACAGTCGAGGAGACTCGAGAGGACTTGCCAGTCGAAGGTTGGCTGCTCGAGAACGTATCGTCAGAATATCATCAGAATGGCAAAGGCCTGATGATGGGAAAAGATGTATCTCAAACTTACTCGAAGGATGGATTCCCTTTGACAGCGGAAGTTATTGATGTTTTGACCCAGCTTCTTTGAGGCGAGGAAGAAGGGAAACAGAGGGTTGGGTATGCTCCAGAAAGATTCGTTATTTTGCAGCTTTGTGGAAGATGGTGCCCTCATCGTGGGGCTCAGTTAGAGATGCCCCAGGAAGATTTGTTATTGTCTGTTCTTTTTGAGGCGGGTGCTCCCCTCATGACAAAGGGTTGGACTCGCCTCGGGTAGACCTGTCATTGTTCGTCTACATGGAAGCGGGAGATCTCATCGTGGGGCCCCAGTTCGATGTCCTCCAGGAAGATATGTGATTGTTCGTCTTTTCGGAGGCGAGTGCTATCTTCGTGAAGCCCAGTCTGGGGGCTTTAGATCTGCCTCAGGGGGATTAGATAGTATTCGTCTCTATAGAAGCGAGAAATCTTTCAATGGAGCCTAGCTACCGCGGAGAGGTAGGAGGCATTAGTCGATCCAGGCTTTCTCGCTGCGTCGGGGAAAAGCCATGTTACCGGAGCACATGAACCTCAAAATTGTATTGGAATGTGAAAGACGATCTTGGAGGAACTACCCGATACAATACGAAAAGTTCAGGGCCACGGTCGATGGTCAAAGTGGTCTATAGACTGAGCTATCATGTTTGAGTTGGTCACGAGAATCTACAATATGACTGTGTCTTGTCCGAAGAAGCTGAAAACATCAAACTAAGCATACAGATCAAGGAAGTGTCGACACCCACCTCGCAGATTGGTGGATCAGAAGAACGAACGGTCCAGGGCTGCTCCAAGGCACACATAATCACGGTCAGCCTTGCCAGGAGACAGCTATGTAGGACAGTGATGGCGACTTTGATGGGCAGAGACAAAAGAATCTTCATGCTAGTCTCCATATCAATGGACCATATCAATGGAGTGATTTTTTGTGGGTGTTAGTAGATATTTCTTAGATAGAAACCTAAGCATGGATGTATGATGTCACATGAAAAAAGTATTGTCTACTATGTATGCAAAACACACTCGACTTGACTCAACAGGGCATTGAATAATTACTCGATTTATGTCATCTTTTGACAAGTTATGGTAGGTAGCTGATATTATTCAGTTTCTCATCCCATTCTCATAGGAATCCTCTTCCCCAGACAACTAGTGATGTTCCCAGTGAAGGCAGTCAGAGAAAGAAGATGGGAGCCAGATGTCTCCAATAACGTAGGATGAAGTTACCCAACGTTGAGACCAGAGGAAAGTAGTTGAAATACGCGATGAAAAGCGACTATCATTCTACCTCGGGTTGCTTCTTCATCCTAACCCATCGGAGTTACATCTGCTTGGCACATCAGATCCTCCCGACGATGTGGCCGAGGCCTTGCTCACCTCGGCCGATTGCAGTCTTGGATGCTGGTAGCTCCAAGTTTGGAATCCGGGGGAAAGCAAGGTTGAAGTAAGCAGGCGAAGCCACGCCAGAGAGAAGCTTGCGGAGAACGACAGGAAAGGGTCCAAGGAGCAGAGAATGTCAGAGGGTGAGCTTGCGGAGACTCCGCCGCCGGACCAAGTTTACCGGGTGGGCACCGGTTATTTAGCGGGTGCGGGGTGATGCGGGGCCTCCAGCTTCCCCGCCATCCGGTCAAGCCACCATTCGGGCCGTTGGACACCCCATCCCGCCCCGTCCTATCCCATGCCAGAGAACCAGTAAGCCACTGTAGTGTAAGAAACAAACGAAACATGAACAGAAAAGATTGGATCAGTTCTTTCGCCTTCATAGTCTCGTTTCAACCCCCCTCCATCCCCTTGACACCACCAATGACAGCTCATCCATGCTCACAGCTACCCTTGCACAGGGCAAGCAGCAAGCTTACACTAGCGCCGCTCTAGCATGATGCGTTTTCTCCATCTCAGGCTTATCCCCCGCTGCAGTCGGCGCAGATGCACATCATCATCCCACCCCAAAGTCCCGTAGCCTCCAACTGTAGAGCCGGTGGACTGCGGGGAAGTCGAGCTCAAGGACGAAAAATGAACAGCGTGACCTTCCGTACCGCATATTTCCTGCCTTGTTCTTTTTTGTTCTGCTGTTCAGACTGGTAGACACGGCCTTACCTCGCTCCATTACTCGCTCGCGCCATTCAATCAAATAGACTTCTAGCCGCAAATGAGCGGTCCTGAACCTTGGCGAGCTACGCGCCAGGAGAATACGACATGGACCAGGCACCCCCAGGGAGCTCCGGACACAGCAGATGAAAGACTGGATGACGTTCATGCTCTGGTCCAGTGGCCCTGCACCTATCACGGGCCATCCGCAAAAGTCGCCTAAAAAACTATGCGTGAAAGCCTAATTAGGTAATGGGGACCTGGGAGCTTTCGGGATGAACGGTTGGAGAGCAGGAGACGTTCGTTGCCGCCTTCCAGCGGGGTCGCATATTCCAACTAACACTCTGAGCCAATGTAACGATGCATTAAGGTCCTTTGATCTGCAAAGCGACACCGAGTATAAAGTCCGCCACCGGGCCATGTCGTGTGCTGCCGTCGAAGCTTCTCTTGTCCTGTTTGCTCATACTCTGCCAAGCTTGTCAACATGGCGAGAAAGCTTTCTATCCTCGGACTACTCAGCGCGGTAGCTTCAGCTGCTGTGATCCGCAGAGACTACCCCAGTGACGACGCGCTTTCGGCATGCCCGGGCTACAAGGCGTCTAACGTTCAGCTTTCCTCGACTGGATTGACAGCGGACCTGTCACTGGCCGGAGAAGCATGCAATGCATACGGAACCGATCTGACAGACTTGACTCTGACTGTCGAATACCAGACTGGTGAGTTTCCCAATTTCTTCTGGCCATTCCATGGCACCCCTGTGCCTTGCGGACCGATGCTCAGACATACTGCAGATACCCGTCTCCACGTCAAGATCCAGGATGCCGCGAACCAGGTGTACCAGATCCCCAATTCTGTGTTCCCCCGGCCCGAGGCTTCCAGCTTGACCATTGCAGAGTCAAAGCTACAATTCAACTACACGGAGAATCCCTTCTCCTTCAGCGTGAGCCGTTTAGATACGGGCGAGGTCCTCTTCGACACCTCTGGAGCCAACATCGTCTTCGAAAGCCAGTATCTCCGCCTCCGGACCAAGCTGCCCGAGAACCCCAACCTATACGGTCTGGGCGAGCATTCGGACCCCTTCCGTCTGAATACGACCGACTATATCCGCACGTTGTGGTCTCAGGATTCGTACGGCATTCCCTCTGGTGCTAATCTGTATGGCAACCACCCCGTCTACTACGAGCACCGCAAGAATGGCACACACGGAGTCTTCTTCTTGAACTCCAACGGCATGGATGTTTTTATCAACAAGACGGAGGAGTCTGGGCAATATCTCCAATATAACACCCTCGGCGGAGTCCTCGACTTCTACTTCGTTTCCGGTCCTTCTCCCATTGAGGTGGCGCAGCAGTATGCTCAGATCACCGGCCTGCCGGCCATGATGCCATACTGGGGCCTGGGTTTCCACCAATGTCGTTACGGATACCGCGATGTCTTTGACGTTGCTGAGGTGGTCTACAACTACAGCATCGCCGAGATTCCCCTCGAGACCATGTGGACTGATATTGATTACATGGACAGGCGAAGGTAAGTAATAGTGACCTGCCTCCCACTCTTGGACATAGACTAACAACCCGCAGAGTCTTCTCTCTCGACCCTGAGCGCTATCCCCTGGCCAAGGTTCGCCAACTCGTCGACAAGCTCCACGAAAATGATCAGCACTACATCGTCATGGTAGACCCTGCAGTGGCCTACGTTGAGTCACCCACCCTGCAACGCGGCATCGACGACAACATTTGGCTCCTCCGTAGCAACGGTTCTGTCTGGATTGGCGTCGTCTGGCCCGGTGTTACTGTATTCCCCGATTTCTTCGCAGAGAATATCACTTCCTACTGGAACAATGAGTTTGCTCAGTTCTTTTCGGCCGACAAGGGAGTCGACATTGATGCTCTCTGGATCGACATGAACGAGCCATCAAACTTTCCCTGCTACTTCCCGTGCGACGATCCTTACGGTTCCGCTGTTGGATTCCCTCCCGAGCCACCAGCCGTCCGCGAGAACCCCAGACCTCTCCCTGGCTGGCCTTGCGATTTCCAACCTCCTGGAACCGACTGCGGTAACAACCAGACCAAGCGATCTGATGTTCTCGTCCGGAAGCAGATGTCGCCTAGGATGGTGCCTGCCGGGCAGACGTTCGACAACTTGATCCTCGCGGAGAGACAATCATCGGGTGATCAGAAGGGCTTGCCCGACCGTGATCTTCTCTTCCCCAAGTACGCCATCCACAACAAGGCCGCCTGGGACACCGAGTCAAACGCAGCCCGTGGGGGTATTTCCAACAAGACTGTGAACACGGACGTGATCCACCAAAACGGCCTCGCCATGTACGATACTCATAATCTCTACGGCTCCATGATGTCCTCAGCCTCCCGAGTTGCCATGGAAGCACGCCGCCCAGGTCTTCGTCCCCTCATCATCACGCGCTCCACATTCGCCGGTGTCGGAAAGCACGTAGGCCACTGGCTCGGCGACAACCTTTCCAACTGGCAACAGTACCGCGTTTCCATCTCTCAGCTGATGCAGTTTGCTGCCGTCTACCAGGTGCCCATGGTCGGATCCGATGCTTGCGGCTTCGGCGACAACACCAACGAGCAGCTCTGCGCACGCTGGGCCGCCCTCGCCGCCTTCTCGTCATTCTATCGTAACCACAACTCCATTGACAGTATCTCGCAGGAGTTCTACCGCTGGGACACGGTGGCCGACAGCGCTCGCAAAGCCATTGCCATCCGCTACCGCCTGCTTGACTACATCTACACGGCCCTGTACCAGCAGACCAAGGACGGTACTCCGCTCATCAACCCAGTTTTCTACCTTTACCCAGAGGACGAGAAGACGTTCGGTCTGGATCTTCAGTACTTCTACGGTGACGCCGTCCTCGTCGCACCCGTGACGGAAGAGAACTCGACTTCAGTTGATGTCTATCTTCCTGACGATGTTTTTTACGACTGGTACACCCACGAGGCTATCCAGGGCACCGGTGCCACAATTTCCCTGACAGACAAGGACTACACCACAATCCCGCTCTTTATCCGCGGCGGCACGGTGCTGCCTCTGCGTGCGAACAGCACCATGACGACGAAGCAGCTGCGCGAGGAGAACTTTGAGCTCTTGATCGCGGCTGGAAGGGATGGCACTGCAAAGGGTCAGCTTTACCTTGACGATGGTGTTAGCGAGGAACAGGCGGGTGTCACGCTCGTCACCTTTGATTACAAGGACGGCAAGGTTTCCGTGGATGGTGAGTTCGGGTACTCGACGCCACTCAAGGTGTCCAAGGTTACGCTTCTCAGCGGAGGCAAGACTGCAAAGAGACAGGAAACTATTAAGACGGTTGCTGTCGAGTATCCCCTGACTGGACCGTTCGTGATCGAACTCAACTAAGATGGGCCACTCGGACGCAGCGTGATGACTTCACTTTTTTTCTCATGTATATATACTTGTTGTGTGAATATCATTAACTTCACTTGCCTACACTCTCCTCGTGAAACCTTCCCCCACCTTCTCGGCTCGCGTGACATTCTGCTTAGTTGACCGGCACGAAAATGCGGTCAATGTCAGCAACCCACGACGAATCCGAGCTGGCAATCTTGATGGTGTTTGCAGATGCAGCCGTGAGGCTACAGAACACGGAGCTGCTCCCGGGGGTATTCCCATCTGAAGTCGGCAAGAAGCCAACAGTCTGCGAGACACCGTTGCACGTCACCGTACCCCACCGCTGGCTCGTATCACCGTTCAGATGCTTCACCCGCACCGTCGTCTTCCCGGAAGCCGTAACACTCACACCGGAAAAGGTCACGCTCCCTCCCGCTGATCCGCCGACGTATCCTGCAGCCGCGGAGCCACTGCACCCCGTGCACGCAACGCTCTTTGCGCCGCCCGCGAGCGTCGCCGTCTCGCCCTCGTACGAGGTCTCGCTGGGTCCCGCGGCAAAGGTGCCCGCGGCGACGTTGGGGACCCAGTTTACGCGGTCGGCGAGGGTGATTGTGGTTCCCGAGATGGCGAGAGGCAGCCAGACGTAGGTGCTTCGCATGAGGTTCGTGCTGACCCAGCGGTCGCCCATGTAGATTGCCGTGTCGCCTAGGGGCAGGATGTAGGTTGTTTGGCTGGTGTACGTCTTTGAGCCGACGGTGGCGAAGGTGGCCCAGGAGGACCAGGGGCCTGCGAGGGAGGTTGCGTAGGAGTAGACCTTGGAGGGAGAATGTCAGTTTTTGCTGAACGTGGAGACGGGGTGGATGAGGAGAGTAGTAAGGGATTTGGTAGAGAGCAAGAGAGACGCGTACGTTGTCGTTCGGGTCCCAGCCGGTGAGCCTGCTTCCGAACATGAAGTAGTATCCATTCTTCTTCCAGATAGCCGGGGCCTCGATGTTTTCGGCCCAGAGATAGACGTTGCGCGTGACGTTGAGGTAATCCGAGCTCAGGGCATCGATTCGGAGACCATTGGGTCGCTGTAAGTGTTTACTCTGTTAGTTATCTAGCTCGTCTATCACGCACACACTCCTCGTCGAGATGGGCACGGGGACGAAGAAACTTACATCCTCCGTCAACAAATACGCAGACCCATCATCATCCTGAAACAACCCGATATCACGACTCTGGAACCCCAACGGCTGCCAACTGCTGAGATACGTATACTTGCCGCACACCGTATCGCTCGTCGCGACGCCGACCTTGGCCTCGCCGTAGTTGCTGCTGTCAATGTGCATGTACATGACGTACTTCTTTGTCGAGCTATTATAAATCACCTTGGGACGCTCCACGACCCGCGAGGGGCCCAGGTCGCCCGCCGCCGTGGTGCGCGAGAGCAGAGCGCCGACGTAGGTCCACTCGACGAGGTTGGTGGACGAGTAGCAGTTGATGTTTTGAAAGGCTGACCCTTCGGTCTTGTCTTCGCCTATGAGGTAGTACGTTGAGCCTACTTTTGTCACGCCTGCGCCGTGGGCTTGAATGTGGCGGCCTGTGTTGGTCTGTCAATTCGTTCACCGTTATGAGTTAGCTGGTGATTTTTCTTTTTGGGCACCCGTTCTGTTGAAACTTGGAGCTGAGGAAAACAATGCTGGGGGGAGGGGGTGTTCGTTTTCTTACCGCTGACCATGTCCCGCCAGAGATGATTTGGAGCGTAGCCTGCGCGAGACCCGCGCCCGCGAGAAGGGAGGCGAGGCCGTTGAACAGACGCATCGTGAAAGAAGACTCGGTGCCCGTCAAAGCCAAAGTGTGTGTATGTATGTACACCACTGCAATGGGTTGAAGATTCACAAACCAACTCCTCGAAATCGTGTGCCCTCCCCCAGTCTTCATATACTTTGCCCTCATCCTCTACACAGTCCGTTCCCCCGGATACACACAATCAATAAACTAGCCATCATCCATGGACACCATTGTACCGCGGTTCGTCCATTTCCCAATTATCCATAGTAACTACAACCCACCTTCTCCCCTCCTAGGCTCCTACCTACCTTTACCCCGCCGGCTCCGGGACCCCCATGTCTATCAGATACCGTTGTATTCGAGTGCATCTCAAAAGAAGCTTTCCTCCAGCCTACTACGGCTTAGTCCCCCTTCCTCGTGTCCCGGCCCCCCGTTTCTCCATGCCCGCCGATACGATAAAGTAAATGATTACTAGAAACGGCTAACTCGGCCGGAAAATTAACAAATCCTTCCAATCGTCACTCAGCGCTTCAAAGTTCAAAGCCCCCATTTCGGATCGAGAGAGGGAGGAGGCGAAGGTGGTTCGTGTCACTAAACCAATATCATTGTCATGTGCTCAACCATTGACGTCTGCTTTGGGGAGCACACACCTCTCAAAGAAGCCTCCGTGCCCGATCGGTGCCTGGCGAAATATTACGTAGGGGCACCGGTATCATGTGTGTAAGACGATTCAAGGGCCAGGGGGAAGCTAGTTTTCCCCGCATTTTGGCTGCAACGTCAAAACCAGGCGCGCCGCTGCGCATCGGGCATCGGCGGATCTACAGGAAACGAGTTCAAGTGAACCACCGGGGGGGGGCTTCGACTACCGGGCAAGTGCCAGGCCCGCTCCGGGAAGGCTCTCAAAAGCTTAGTATGGTGATACGCAACAACACCATGCAGACGGATCATCGTGGACGGGTGTGAGTCCGTCCCGGGAGCCCCCCTTGCTCCCTGGCCAAGCTCTCGGGGCCCGCTCTACAAAGCTGGGCGGAAGAAGATCAGACGACCAGCACAGGACTGACACGGTTGTAGAGAAAACGGGGACCGGGGGATTGTACAGGCACGGTGCATGGATCTTCAAGATGGTTTCTTTTGTCTTGGCTAAGATCTTGTCTGCCCTTTTGTTCTCTTGATTCCCTATTCTTCTCCCACGCTTGGTGCTTGCAAACGAAGCCAACCAGGCTGGCTGCCCCATCATCGCTAAGTAGGCGAGCTCTGAGCCAGGAAGAGGCGAAATATAATCGAAGAGAATGAAAATCGTTCATGTGTCTCGTCAGTCGTACCCGATAAACTCCTTCCAATCGTTCATGACGCCGTAGTATATAAGGTCGAATAAATTAGTCCGCAACGCCCACACCAGTTTCCGGTTTCACACGCTAGCCATCCACTTCCATCTTGTCCTCGGCAGTATCCTTGGCCTCGATTGCTTCTTCGACATCCAATTTCGGTTCAGGATATGCCACCGATATCGAGTCTTTTGACTCGCCGCCGATGGGGCCACCACCGTTGCCGGGGCCGTTTCCGGCACAAAGACGGTACTCGCCGTCGTCTTTTCGCTCGATGATACCTTCTTCAAAAGCCCACTTTGCCAGCAGCCGATCAACACCGAGTCGCTGACCTTCACCCTTCTCCATATGCCTGCCAACGTGTTCAGTCCATTCGTCCCAAGAACCAGGCCCTTCGAAGATGACTTGGCAGTCTGACTTGGGACATGCCGACCTCTGAGGCGGCGACCGGCGTGTGACGAGGCAAGTAGTCTGCATTTCCTTGACGTGGCCTTCCCACTCAACTTGCAGCTTGCTATCGCCTTTGGCAATGGCCTTCTTGATCGCGAAAGGCGCATGCATGCGGCGAAGATGCTGCGTGAAAAGATCTTTTCGATTAAACTCGTTCCCCTTGCCCTCAACGGTGCTCTGTGGGCAAGACGAGCAGCGATAATATTGCAAGCAGAGATGTTGGGAAGCAATGTGACGCTTCCACTCGTTCTTTGAACCAAAGGTACTCGTACAACCTGCGAACGAGAAGGCACAAGGGAACGGCCTTGTATGTGCAGCCGCAATGTGTTTGCGAAGCGACGATGAATCCTTGAAGGGAGCATGTGTACACAATGTGCACCTTGTCTCTTGCTTCGGTGTCGCTTTCTGCAAGGATCGTCGATGCTTAGCCTTCGCATTGGGTGTACTCATATCAATCGAGTGCATCGTGTCATCTGCACCAGAATCATTCGCGTCGTGGGAAGACCCCGTGTCCTCGTGATTGGCAGGCATCGCTCCATCGGGTAGGGTCGTACGTTGCCGCTCTACGGCCGGCGGTGCCTCATCGCTCAAGTGGCGAACATGGCTTAAAGCTTTCAGCTGCTCTGCCGCTTCCTGCATTTCTGCCGAATCCTCCACATCATCTTTGCCTTCAACGATCGCGGCGGCAGCGGCTGCCGCTGCAAACGGCACGCTGGACGGGGTGGTTTCTATGCGGTTTGCCGTTTCATGGAAAGATGCGTCTTTGCTGTCTAATGAACGCTGGTGCGTTGCTGGCGTGCTTGCTGCCAGCTCTCGCGCTTCCAACAAGATGCGCCCGTCTTCGACCTCCTTTGCTGTGGCTTTAGGGATTCCTGCAGAGCCCTTGAGCTTCTGGTACAGGTGAATCATGTTATGCGACGTGATATACCCCAGGAAACAGCAGACCTTATCATGCTGGACGACATTCCATATTGAATGGGGCATTGATATCAGGAGCATGGTGGGTGGACCGAGGAACATTCCTTCGACTTCAATCTTGGCAGCTAGGGGCGGCGTGTTGTGAAGCCAGCCATTGAAGAAAGACATGTCTGGACTGGCGTCTCCAACGAATGTCGTACACACAAGTACTCGTGGCTCATCGAACCGTAGGTCAGCAACAGACTCGGGGTCAATGAGCTGGTCTTCGCGCACAGCCCTCGATAGTGGTTCCCCATCAGTAGTCCCATTGCGCGGCGATTGCTGTTGGCCCGCCCGAGCAGGCAAGGGAGCCAAGCTCAAACTTTGACCTTTCCCGGGTGTGAGAGTGAAGCAGATGGGAAGTTGGGGCGAGGGTGGCGGAGTTTTGCTGGCACCGTTTGTGAGTTTAGCTGCTGTTGCGTTTTCCTGCTGCCTCAGCTGTACAATCTCCTCGTGTAGCCTCGGTACGCTGAACGGTCTGCCTGCAATGCTCAGCTTATGCAAAGCTTCAATCAAGTGATATGTGAAGGATTTGCCCGCAGCCTCTCTGGGGTTCTGCTCAGGACCGCCGGCAGCAATAGCTTGCTTGATACCATGGCTCCCAGAAACGGGTATATCACGAACGGAGCAGGCGTCGAGCAACAACAGAATATCGGACTGGGCATCTTCAAACAGACAGCGTACGCCGTCCCACTTGAGCTTTGCGGCATCTTCTCGGGTATTGCTGTGGAAGGGCGGTCAGAAAGGTGAGGAGACGTGATTCGCAGTAGATTCTGGACTCACCATGCCCAGTAGAGCTGATTGTCCAACCCGGAATATGCATAGCCGGCGTAGTAGATGATCAGCAAGTGATTTGGCCGGGCATGTTCGAGAAAGGAGGCCATCTGGACCCCAAGCTTGATGCTAGGATTGGGTACGGTTGGGATGGCCCATCGATTCGTCTGATAGTAGTATCGGTCTCGTAGTATGTTCTCCAAGGCCGCCAGATCGGCCTCGGCCGAGGTATCTTCCTCCCAGCGCAGCAGAAGCACAGAAACGCTATCGTAGGGTGCGCGCTCGGTTTGGCGCTGGATCAACATGGCAGCATCTTGAAGATGCCTCGCGAAGGATTCGAAGTCATGGCGTTCGGCTGGAGGGGCCTCCGAGGCTGGGTGCTGCTGAGGCTGGATGGTTCAAAACACGGTTAATTACAGCAGCTCAATGAATCTACGGGAGCGCAGAATGAAATTCTCACCGATTCGTGGGGGAAAGGAGCCGGCTGTGTGGTGTGATTTGACGGCGACTCCTTTGGCATAAGCCGCCGCTTCTTGGATGGCTGGGGTTGTTCCATCTACAGATGGCAATGGGGAGACAATTTGTACAATGGCGGGTTGAGATTGAGATGCGTTATGATCATGGAGGCGCTCAATGGAGGGGAGAAGTTTTGGAAATCAGGCACTGGAGCAATTGGGCGATGGCTGAATTGTCGTGGGCAGTGATAATTGGGGGGGTCAGAAGAGGTACCGACGTCTACGTACAGCCTCGTTGCGGGAGAAAGGCAGGAAAGAGATGGAAAGGCTCTGGGCCGATCCTGCCTCTTCTGCAACGGGCCAATCAAAGCTCACCAGGTACTCTCTAGTGGTCCGTGCAGCAAGGCGGGCAGACGTGAGAGTGGAGCACCCTGGAGCTTCCTTCCTAAGGTTCCCTTCACCTTGCGCCGGCGGTGACTTACCTTCATTCCCATCGTGTCATGAAGCGCGTCCTCTCCCTGCTTAAAATTGCTTCGTTCTCTCTTTTTCTGGCTGAATCCTGCTCTGTCTTGCCCAATCTCGCGTTCAATCCAATCTGGTAATCCCGCCTTTTCATTGCAAACCAAAGTGAAATTCCGACGGCGGCCACTTTTCTCACCTCGCGCAGACATCAAACATCCCCGTCACTCGCCCTCCATTTCCTTGGGCAACCTACCTACCTTACCTTACAACTCATGCAGTTTGACTGGGCTGAGTATACTACCTCGCATGTGTGAGGTGTGAGTATGTGGTGTCTGCCCGGTGTGTACCTCGTAGTGTGTGTGTGTGCCCCTCATTCTGCCGCCGCCGCCTCCTCACGCCTTTGCCGTGCTGCTAGGCGTCCAAAAAGACCTGATAACTGGTCTCTCTCATGCACCCTGCCTGAATCACTGCCATTTACTGGTGCCACCTGTACAACCTTGTGCTGCAAGGCAGCTCCGTTGGGCATGCCTCGGACGTCCAAGGCCACGCCAGTCCGTTCCCTCACATCTCATTCAGTCTGTCAGTCACTCACTCGCTCACTCATTAACTCACTCACTCCATCCCCCCCGTTCTCAAGGTCATTCTGAATTTAGTGCTTGTGTGCTATCAAGGTCACGAAGTTGGCGTTTAGCACGGCTACACTCGATAATTAGAATTGACTTTTGACGTCGGGTGTGTTTATGGACCTGAGCTGGCCTGGCCACAGCACCTGCCACCTGTCATCTGTCACACATCCCATCCTTCATCATCATTGGATTCATGCCCGTCCAAATCTGTCTGTCAGTCTGTGTCTTGCCGACACTGCAGCACAATACCAATCGGTGCTACCGCCGCCACACACGAGGCGTGGCAGCCCAGTCAGGTCGGCTAATGTAGAGTCTGACAGTCAACCGGCGAATAGCGCCGCGAGGCCCGCCAGAGAATCTGTCAAGTCTAGGCTTGGATTGACCGACAGACTGGCAGCGTGGCAGCATGGTAGCATAACAAAGGCGAAAGACGGAACTGCTTCTGCTTGGTTGATTTCCAACTTACACTTTCTACCCGCGTCGGAAAGGCATGGCTGCAGGCCTCTAGTCCCACCGCATCCGACCCTTTCACCTCTCCTCATTCCATCCCCTTTTGCTGCTGGCCAATTGAGCTTGCACAATCGAGTCTCAGCAGTTTCCAGTGCATCCGCCCTCCTATCGGCTGTTTTGCTCCGTCAGCTACACCTTCCAACCCACGCGTTGCACTATTGGGCCTTATCGTTCGCCTCCGCGTTGTGAGAGACACGCACGTCGTGTAACACATCTCCCAGCGTCTAAGTGCTCAGTCTAAGGTATATATATACTCTACACCCCATGGTCTTTACCACTTCATCACCTCCATCATGGTCGCGCTTCGACACTGCCAGCTCTGTACCTACCGGAAAGCACCAGCAGCTTGACCGTGTGTCATCAAATGTGTGCTAGGTCTCAGTAGGCGGCGCTGATGGTTTGAATGGGGGGGGGGGGGGTTCCTCTCTGTTAACGGGGAGTATAGCTGTGGGAGGCTGGAAGCTCGTAGATGTGGGGGATCATGCAATTTAGATACGCGCTTGTAGCCAAGTCCAGGCCATCACCCACTGTCGGTAGCGCAAAGAAGTCGCCGAGGCACGGTGAAAATAGAATTCGTCTCATCATCTGCGCATGAGACCATCGCGATTGCGGCGGCAAGGCTCGGACGAATTGACGTAAATTAAACGTGCCGTTCTAACACAACGCAATTGTAACTTGCCAGGCTCGTCACCCCAGTCAAGTATTGAAGTGTTTGTTCCAGGCATGAGAGATCGTTTCCAAAGATGAAGCAGGCCGGATGCAGTCCGGGTATGGCGTTGGCTTCAAACCCGACAGGGCACATGTTCGCGGCTTGATGACCCGTTGAAGGTTCAATTCCTCTCCAACATGCATCTGCCTGTTCTCTTCGCTGCCGACCTGGGTCCGCGGAAACAATGCTGGGGTCGATAGCTGTGGGAGCTCCGGGCGCGGCTTGCCCCGAGCCGATAAATGGACCCGGACAAGGAGGCAGTCGGTGTTAGTCGATCCGTCTTCTCCGGGTTCTCCCAGCCTTTTCTCCCTTGCTGGTTGAGAACGCCGAATGCGATGAACAGCACGCCGGTCCCGAAACCTCAGGGAATGGTGGGACCTTCTGCGCCACCTTGACTTGGCCGCTAGCGTGCCTGGGGTGCAATGGACAACCGGTTGACGACATTGCTCCAAGGAAGGAGCTTGAAGACACGGAAGGCGCCCGTCATTTAGTTGAGGTGGTAGAGTCGCCATGGGACCGCATCTCCCATTGCCAAGCCGGATAGAAGGACCATCTTCTTGAGCATAGTGACCGAAGTAAGAGTCCGCGTCTGGGATATTCCACGGTGGCGGATACAAGTGACGAGAGGAGAAAACGAACCCTTGGTGCGGCGCGGAGGGCCCGGTCAAGGATGAGTCGCATCACGGCATTCGGTGTGCGGGCCGCCTGGAAACAAGTCCACGGGTCCTTGGGATTTTTGGAGTTAGGCATGAACAGGCCTTTGAAAAGGTGTTGACTAACTTTCTCATCGGGCTGGTGAAGCCTTTCCTCTGTGCACTGCAGGCAGCAAATGAGCGGTTTGGGGTTCTATCGCCAAGAAGCACTATCCAGGATCGTTCCAGGAATCGACGACCAGGAGAACCGTGTTTTGTCACGCGAGCGCTTCCAAGTGGCGACAAAGGCTCTGAACAGTGAAGTTCGAAAGCCCAGAAGAGAGGATTGACGAGTGAAAGAGTTGAGAAATCGTCCAAGCCTTGCACAGCCACGCGGGAAAGAGGCTTCGAGCTTCTAGTCCGGTAAGAAGAAAACACCATGACCAATCAAGACCTTGGGCCGGCGGGTTTTCTCAACGCTCGAGGTGGGAGCTAGCGCGGCCAGGCGGCACATGCAAAGCTGAAAGCTGATGGCGCTGCTGACGTATGGGTGTGGTCATCCGAAGGGGTCCCCTGTCCGCTACATCAGCGAGTGTGGGAATGCCTACACAGCAGGCACTGGGATACTGCTGGCGAGCCCTCGTGACAGCTGCTGCTTGACAAGTAAGAAACGCAGTAGATTGGATGTTTGGCAGCTAAGTTAGATGATAGAACCTCAAAAGACTCGGTTCAAAAACGAAGGGGCTTGGAATAAGTATACAAAGATGGCGAATTAGCATATACCTCCTACTCAGACGCGGGGAAGGACTTGGCTGCTGCTCCTCTGAGGTCAGAAACAAGCCAAGACCGTGGCAGCACGGCCATGTCATCGGGGCCTAAAGTGGCCGAAGATCTGGTGGGGTACTTCCGCACCTCAAACCATGGGTAGACAGATTGTTGAGTGTTTCTCGGCCTCGGCCTCCGCTCGGAGCCTGTGACTTTGAGGTCTTGGGTCCTTTTGAAGGGACCATCTCGAGATAGCGGGGCATCTGTCAGGGCAGAGGCAGTATCCGTATCCATGGACTGCTGCGGCGCTGCTGCGTGGGTACTCGCAGTGTAGGTTTGACGGCCTCAATTGGAGTCGTCGCGAAAAGAGAGGTTCGAGAATGGTTCTGGTTCTAGTGCAGGTCCCCGGGATCCTCCAGCAAGGAACATGGCCTCAAAGCCTAATGGAAGGCCCCCAAAGTCACAGGTGCCGGGAGAGTCGTGGGCGGACGGTCGGTTTCAAAGGCCGCGATTGGGCGGGGTTCGCGAGTAGGCGGGACTGCGTGGAGAGGGAAACATTTTGCGTCCCTGCGGATTAGTTTCGTCTACAGTATAGACAGGCAAGGTACGGAGTACTGGCTGCGAGAATGCTGTGCTCCGTAACTTGCTAGCCTATCGAGCCGTGTATCTGCCTCGCGGCCTGCCTCGGGGTATCTGTCGCGTCTGCAGGAGTCTTGATTTATCCGGTTCGTCTTGGGATGTCATCTCTGGTATATTCCGAGAGGCCTAGACCGGCTGTGTGAGATGGAAAGGATGCTCGCAAGTTGCAACGGTCGGGATGTGAATAGCAGGCAATGTCGTCCTCTAGGCACTTGCGCTTGCTTATCTTACCTACTCACCTACAGTGCAGCAGATACTCATGTTTTTTGTGGTAAGAAGATGAGCTTGGCCCGTTCGCTCTCTCCGCAAAAGACAGAAAGAAAGGCACAGAGAGACAGAGGAAAGAAGGACCAGACTTCCATCCGACCTTCCCACCCCGTCGTCCCGAGGCAGGTAAATTGGAGGAGTATCTTACACCTTCCATCCTGCCACCAGTGCCCACTGGGCTCTCTCCTTCCATCTCCCACTTTATTATTTGCCTCTGTACCACTTTCTCTGCCGGTGCTCCCTATTTCTTCTTCTTCTTCTTCTTCTTCTTCTTCTTCTTCTTCTTCTTCAACTCCCAAGTCCCGTCGGCGCCTTCCCGTCATAACTTTAAGCTTCGAACAGGAATCGAAAGGAAGAAATAGACCACCTTCCCCCTATCTCACCTTCGCCGTGCTGCAAAAACGCACCCAGGTCAGAGCTCTACGGTCCAGGTACCCCTCAGCGCCTCATTGAAGAGAAGATCTTGTCCTAGTTGGATCTCACTCCCGCCT